AACAGCAACGACAACAACAATAACAACAACAACAAACACAACAACAACAACAACCTCAAACACAACAACAACAACAACAACAACAACAACAATAATAATAACCCCCCCCGCCCCGACAGTTACCGACAGAAGCCGAGGTTTACTTCGGTGAGGACGGGACCCACTTCCACGAAAAGCCTCTCAAGTCGACCTCCAAGTGGCCTGGCTCCTCCTTGACCTCCGGCATCCACAACCTCACCCTCGACCTCCGCCACCGCACCGGGAAAGTCCTCAAGATACTCCTCGGCTTCCCTGGTCCTTGGCTAGCCTTGAGTGAGGTTTACTTCGACAGTGGTAAGTACATGGGTTCGAGGATTACCTTTTCTTATGGTGTATTGGGATGTAGGGATTAGGGATTTCTAGGATTAATTTACAGTGTTGGGATTAGGATTAAAAATGATGTTAGGATAGATTAGGATTAGGGATTTATAGGATTATTATAAAGTACTAGGATTAGGTTAAGGATTTGTAGGATTAGGATTAGGATTAGGGATTTATTTCAGGTAACCTATAGTGATATATGTGTGTCTTAACATCATATACAGATTATTATATGTACGTGTGTGTGTGTATATGTAAATTTTAGTCATGTGTATGTTTTTCTATGTGTATTTCGATACTTATGTGTAGTCATGTAAACCCTTGTGCATGTGTGTGTGTGTGTGTGTGTGTGTGTGTGTGTGTGTGTGTGTGTGTGTGTGTGTGTGTAGAGGTACTGTAGCTAACTTAGAGAAGAGGGACGGTATACATATGTGTGTATATACGTATGTGAGAGTATACCCGTGTGTGTGTGTGTGTGTGTATTTGTGTACGTATGTAAGTATAGAGGTTAGTGTAGGTAAGATAGAGAAGGGAGTTATTACACAGCAGTAGTTTACAACACCCAGAGGAGCCGTCAGACTTCCTCCTTCCTACTTCGTCTTGCAAGGAAATACTCCCACTGAAAAACACTGTAATTGTGACGTGTGCTGCCCGGCCCGCCCCTCGTAAAACACACTCTTATCATATGAATAAGCTGTAACCATCTCTTGTTTTGGGTGTGTGGGGAAGTGTTTGGAATGATGTGGGGGGGATGGTGTGAATGTTTGTGTGGGGTGGTAGAAATGTGGGGGAGTGAGGTGTGTTGTGTTGTTGTGTTGTGATGTGAGAGTAAGGTACACTGTGTGTTGTGTTGTGTTGTGTTGTGAGGTACAGCATATTGTCTTGTGGTCATAAAAAGGAGACCTCAGGGCCCATTATTTAAGGTGTGTGTGTGTGTGTGTGTGTGTGTGTGTGTGTGTGTGTGTGTGTGTGTGTGTGTGTGTGTGTGTGTGTGTGTGTGTGTGTGTGTGTGTGTATCTTCCTTGTAAATTCTTCCTCTTCTATTTCATCTTATTCTTGTTCTTCTTTTTTCTCTTCGTATTCTTGTATTGTTCTTCTTCCTCTATTTGTTCTTCTCTTCCATGTTCTTCTTTTTTCTCTTCTTTTCTTGTTGTTTTTGTCTTTGTTATTATTTCTGTCATCTTTGTTATTTTGTTATTGTTGTTGTTGTCTTTGTTTTTTCTTGTTGTTTATGTTACTTTATTGTTGTTGTTGTTGCCTTTATTGTTAATGTTGTTGTTGTTGTTGTTGTTGTTGTTGTTGTTGTTGGTGTCCCTCTCCTGGTGTGGTCTGCGTCACACTCTGCTTTACGATCCTCCGCCACCTGGGCCGCCTCTCCTCCTCTCCTCCTCTCCTACTCTCATCCATCTTCGTCTATCCTCCTCCTCCTCCTCCTCCTCCTCCTCCTTCTCCTCTTCCATTATCCCTTTCCTCCCATTCCTCTTCCTCCTCCATTATCTTCTTCCTCCTTCATTATCCTCTTCCTCATTGTTAACCTCCTTATATTAGATCAGATGAGATTAGGTTAGGTTAGGTTAGGTTAGGTTAGGTTAGGTAAGGTTAGGTTAGGTTAGGTTAGGTTAGGTAAGGTTAGGTTAGGTTAGGTTAGGTTAGGTTAGGTTAGGTTAGGTTAGGTTAGGTTAGGTTAGGTTAGGTTAGGTTAAGTTAGGTTAGGTTAGGTTTATAAAACATTTTAAACACGAGTTGAATAACAAAGCCGTGAAACATGAACGATTACGGATTAACAAAGGAATTATTTATTTTTGTTGTGTTTGTGGTGTTTTATGGGTGATGTTGTAGTATTACGTAAATGTATCAGTTATTGAGGCTGAAAGATGAACATTTTTATGTGTGTTGTGTTGTGTTTACCGTCAACACTGATGTAATGCAGTTTGGTGTTCTCGAGGGGCTGGTGGTCAAGGATTATAATACTGTGTGTGTGTGTGTGTGTGTGTGTGTGTGTGTGTGTGTGTCATTTGATATAGGCAGAGTCACCAGCACCACTAACACCCTCACCTCACCATCACCAGGACCGTGACTCAGACAAGTCACCATGTGTTGACGTCTGCCTCACACACTGGGTCACCATCTGTGACGTGTTGTGTGGTGACTGAGGAGGTGAGTTATCGTGCACATGTCTTGTGTGTACATAATGAAGCAGTTTATTTACCCTACATGTGTGTACATTACAGAGCCTTGTGTGTGTAACTTGACGGACTGGACGGACGGAGAAGCGTCCACACCAGCAGAACACACAGCTGGACGACGCGACGACTCTCGCGACGTGTCGGCGGTGTCGGCTGTGCACGCCCACACCCGCGCCTACATGGGCGTGGTGATCGGCTTCGTGGTGGGCGTGTTCCTGCTGGTGGCCGCGGGGCTGCTCATCTACGTCAGAAGACTCCGGAAGAAGAAGTCCTCACCCCACGTGCTCAAGAGTCCTCTCTCGGACTCAGCCAGTGTGGCCTTCGACCTCAAGTCCCTGAGGATGGCCACCAGCTACTCGGGGGCCGGAGCGGCCATGTACGGCCCCGTCGCCGTACCTGACGAGGAAGGTTCGCTGTACCACGAGCCCTACAAGACGCCGCTCTTCAGTGCCTCAGAGTACAGCGTGGCCACCATAGGCCGCCACCTGAGTGACTACAGCAAGGATGGCGCGGGCACGCCTGCCCATCAGAGCGCCAACAGTGGCGTGGTGGGCGGGGAGTACGCCGTGCCCATCCTCTCCACGCCTCCCCCACCCTTCAACACCAACGCCTCCACGCCCTTCACCACCACGCCCATCAGCGCTCCGCCCACGCCTTTCTCCCACGCCACCACTCCTCACTCCGCTACCTCTACGCCCTTCAGGTGAGTGAGAGAGACACGGTGGTGTTGACATAATAACATAATGGTTTACATGTACACATTCAGACATGTGTACCGGGTATGTATACAGTATATGTGTGTGTACATACAGTATGTATAACATTTTATGGAATCAACATAAATTCCGCTAATCCATACCTCCCCCAGCACCTCGGCACCTCACCCCCCCCCTCAACGCTGCCCCCCAACGGGTTCCTCCCTGATGCGTCATCCCCTTCCCCCCCCGCCGCCCCCCGTGCCGCCCCCTCCCGAGAAGTACCTCACCCCGCCCATCGTCTGTAAGGTAGGTTCACACCCCATCCACTGTACCTCTAGTGTTAAGGCACTGGTACATCACCTCCTGTACCTGTATTGTTAAGGTACAGGTACAGTACTTAACCTAACACCTGTATACTGTACCTGTATTATGAGTTACAATTATTCATATATTGTGTTTATTGAGGAACTTTACTGTATTTCTCAGCCAACATAAACTACTTCAAGGAACTCGTTCAGGCTGAGTGTCTTATCAGATATTGACTCTGGGAAGGTAAGGTTTAATAAGGTTTATTTCTTATATATAAACCATTTAGGGTAAAACATTTTGTTATATGGATTTTTCTTCATACTTGTTGTTCATGTTCTTCGTTATGTTATTGATAAGCACAATGTTATATGTCTCCTTCTGAAGAACTATATAAGGTGTATAGAGGGATATTATAAGGTGGTGTGCGTGTAAGGCTTGGGGTGGGTGGGTGGGGTGAAGGAGGGGAAGACGAAGGTGATGGGGTAGGGGTGGAGGAGGTGAGGGGTGAGGTGGTAGTAATGGTTAGTGAAGGGGTAGGGAGAGGGGATAAGGGAGAAGGGGATAAGGACAAGGGAGAGGGAGAGGGGGAGAGGGGGAGAGGGGGATAAGGGAGAGGGGGGAGAGGGGTAAGGAAAAAAGGTGGTATTTGTGGTAGTGAATGGAGAGAGGGAAGGGGGGCAGTGAGGAGTGAGGAGGTGTTGATAGTGATGAGGTGAAGGAGAGGGGGAGGGGGGTAATGAGGGGTGACGAAGCAGCTAACAAGAGGAGGTAGTTATGGTAACGTCGAGGAGGAGAAAGAGGGGAAGGGGAGGAGGGGTGAAAGGTATCGATAGTGTGGGGAGGAATGAAGGAAGGAAGGAAGGAGAGAGATAGAGTGGATGAACAGATGAGGGAATGATGACGGGTGGGGGGGGGTGAAGAGAGGGGGTGGGGAGGTGTGACGGGTACCATGGCGACCATACACCCACAGCACTTGCTATATAGAAACACACCTCACTTCCCCTCTAAATCTCCTACACCCCGCTAGCGTACACCTTCACAAGACGCTGGCCGGGTATATGTGTGTGTGTGTGTGTGTGTGTGTGTGTGTGTGTGTGTGTGTGTGTGTGTGTGTGTGTGTGTGTGTGTGTGTGTGTGTGTGTGTGGTTATGGAGGACCTCCCATTAATAATAACTTGACAGGTTAGTTAAATTGTCAGTTATAAAAGTCTGTCTGTCTGTCTGTCTGTCTGTCTGTCTGTCTGTCTCACTTTCTGTCTGTTTGTCTGTCTCTTTTTCTTTCACTCGCTGGATACATATTCTCTCTCTCTACTGATCTAGTTTGCATCTCTCTCTCACTTTCTCTCTCTCTTGACGTACAAACACTCACTCTCATAAATCGTTGTTGATACAATTTCTCACTTTGTCTCTCCCTCTCCCCTCTTCTCCCCTCCCACCCACTATTCATCTCCCCACCCCTCCCCTCTTCTCTCTTACCTCTCATCATTAATCTCCCCATCCCTCCCATCTCTCTTCTCCCCTCCCACCCACCTTTCATCTCCCCATCCCTCCCCCTCCTCTCCTCCCTTCCCACCCACAATTCATCTCCCCTTCCTCCTCTTCCCCTTTCTTCCCTCCCTTTCCTCTTTTCTCCCGTTCTCTACCCTATCCCCTTCTTCCCCTCTCCCCATCTCTCCCCTCACCGCTTGTCAACTGGTTGTCATGGGAACAAAATTTGAACGAGAGATGAAGACAGTTTCTTCTTAACCTCTCTCTCTCTCTCTCTCTCTCTCTCTCTCTCCCTCTCCCTCTCCCTCTCTCTCTCCCTCTCTCTCTCTCTTCAGTAAACTCATCACCAACTATACACAGTTTCCTGACAAGAACTGTCAAACAGTCTCTCAGTTATTTGGGGAACTAACTGACTGATTTTGCATGTGTGTATTTATATATTATGTCTGTCTGTCTGTTTCTGTCTCTTTATGTTTATATGTCTGTTTGTTTCTGTCTCTGTCTGTCTGCTTCTGTCAGTTTGTCTCTGTGTCTGTCTGTCTGTCTGTCTCATTCTCTATAATTCTGTACGTCTGTTTGTTTCTCTTCTCATTCTTCATCTCTCTGTTTCTTATCTCTATCTGCTTTTCTATGTCTGTCTCCTGTTGAGGGAAGGAGAGGAAGAGGGAGGAGGGAGGGGAGGAGGGAGGGGGAGAAGGAGAGGAAGGGAGGGAGGAGGGAGGGACGGGGAGAAGGAGAGGGAAGAGGGAGGGAGGGAATGGAGGAGGGGGGAGAGAAGGAGAGGAAGAGGGGAGGGGAGGGAGGAGGGAGGGAGGGAGGAGGAGGAAGGTGATGTAGAAGAGGTAGGGGAACGGGTGTAAGGAGGGAAGGGGGGGTGTAGGGGAGGGGAAGGAGGGGAAGAGTCACAGTGTATCAGTAGTATTGTGGCGTGTCAACATCACTATGGTAACGATTCTGTTTAAAGCCTCCCTCCTTCTCTTCTGCTCTCTCCCTCAATCCATCCTTCATTTATTCCTCCTCACTCCCCTTACTACTTACCCCTTACCTCTCGTCAATCAACCTCCTTTGTCTCTCCTCCTCCCTCACCACACCAGCTTATCTCACCCTCCCAAATACCACACGAATAAAACACTTACCCTCCCTTCCTCCCTCCTCCTCCTCTCTCCTCCCTCCCTCCCTCCTCCCTCCCTCCTCTCCCTCCTCCCTCTCTCTCCCTCCCTCTCCCTTTCCTCTCTCCCTCCCTTTGTTATCACACCCTTCTCAGAAATAAAAACACTGCCACGCTCAAACTTATCTCCAGAAATAAAACACCAACACACACACACACACACACACACACACACACACACACACACACACACACACACACACACACACACACACACACACACACACACACACACACACACACCTTTAAGACTTACATTCATTCACTCGTTAAGTCTCACCATTGGACCAGTTTAATTATGTTAATGACTGTGATAACTTAACTGGCTTAACTGGATGATTGGTTGACTGTATGACTGGCTGATTAACTGACTTGATGACTGGATGCTTGGCTGACTGGGTGATTAACTGACTGGATGATTGGATGACTGGCTGATTAACTGACTGGATGATTGGATGACTGGCTGATTAACTGACTGGATGATTGGATGACTGGCTGATTAACTGACTGGATGATTGGATGACTGGCTGATTAACTGACTGGATGATTGGATGACTGGCTGATTAACTGGCTGGATGACTTTTAACTGGAGTCTTGTAGTGACTGAGAGGCCATTATAATGACCTCAAAGGTGACCCTCAAGATGGCGGCCGTGAGGTAGTTCGAGGGCAATACTCCATTAAAGGAGGGAGGGAGGAGGGAGGAAAAGGGAGGGAGGTAGAGAGAAGGAAGAAGGAGGGAAGCAGGGAAGGAGAAGGAAGGAAGGAAGGAAGGAAAGAGGAAGGAAGGAGAGAAGAGAGAAAACAGAAAGGCAGGTGGCGAGAGGGAGGGGTGAGGAAGGAGGGAAGGTAGGAAGCATTAAAGGAAGGAAGGAAAAAAAGGAAGGAAGGAAGGCATGGGCGGGGAGGAGGCATTAAAGGAAGGAAGGAAGGCATGGCGGGAGGAGGAATTAATGGACAGTAATTGATGGATGGGTCGAGACGTAAACAGAAACAGACAGACATTAAGATCTAAACCATCCCAAAAGAGAGAGAGAGAGAGAGAGAGAGAGAGAGAGAGAGAGAGAGAGAGTCTAAATTCGCTCATTGTCAAGTCTATTCAAGACACTTTAAGCTGTAATTCATCCGCTGTTCTTTTCATTCATTCATTCCCCAGATCTTTTTTTTTCTTTCATTTTTTTCTTTCTTGCGTTGATAAGTTTGAAAGTTAAGTGATTGAAGTGATTGAAGTGGGTCATTGTTGGGGGGAGTGGAGTGGATTGAGGAGTAATTCACTTGGGGTTTACTGTTTAATTTTTCAGGAGTGTATTGAGAGGGGTGGGGTGGGAGGGTGGAGAGGGAAGGGGTGGAGAGGGGGGATAATGTGTAGGTAGTGAGTTGTGACTGTGTGTGTGTGTGTGTGTGTGTGTGTGTGTGTGTGTGTACCCTCTCTTCTTTCCTTCCCCCACAGCCTCTTCTTTCTCTCCCTTCCTCCTCCTCCCTCTCTCCTCCTCCTCCCTCCTCCTCCTCCCTCTCTCCCTCCCTCCTCTCCTCTCCTCCCTCCTCCCTCCAGCACCACACACACACACAATATCGACACCGACTTAAGCTAAGTGGTCGCCTTAATCTCCTGTCCACCAGTTATCATCATCACCTGTCACCCCCCCCCCAACCGGCCGTCTTCCCAGTACCCCCCCCGTCTCCGCCCCGTCTCCCCTCCCGTCTCCGCCTCCCCGTCTCCGCCCCCCCGTCTCCCCCCCCTGTCACCCCCCACTCCCAGCTGCTCTCTTAAAGTATTCTAGGTTGAAAATTTTCTCCTAACTAAAGAAGAGAAGCTGTTTAGTTTCCATAAACCTCGGAATGATTTTGTTTACGATGTTTTGGCGATGTTTTGGCGAGATTCCTTTAAATGGAGGTGAGAACGCCACTATCTTTGTTAGGATTCTCAAGGGTTGGTACAATAAAAAGACGCCACTAGAGGCAGAAGTCGGTCGAACATTAGTCTGGCGTAACTCCCATAAGCGTCTCACCGAGGGTCGCTATTACAAGAACGCTGGAGAATCCATCCTGGTGGCAGCACTACTTGAGGCTGTTATAACCATTCTCACACCTCCATCACCCAAACGAGAGAAACTGAAAACACTAATAAAAAAACAAAAATACGACATCACAATCCTTTTGAAAATCCTACTTTACGCCATAGCTTACGAGAACCTGTTATAGGCGTTTTCTTATCTCCACCTTGGCGAAAAACAAATAACACGCGAATCCGCATATCCCTTTGTTTACGTTCTTGAGGGCGGCGGGGACTTGAGACGGATGTGAAGCAACGAACGAACAACAACTATCCGCCTCTTCCTCTCA